CTTTTGACTCTTTATAGCCTAGCCACAGACATACTATTTTTTTCCTGTCATTAACAGTGAGCAAGCTGGAAGGGTTCTGACATGTAAGACGCACAGATTCTGCTAGGAGCCTTGATTTTTATCCACCTACCCAAGCTTATCCATCATCTTTAATCATGCAAAATGAAGAATTAATCATTTCATTTCATTGAAAAAGAAAGAGAAAGGTATACATTAAAATGATGACATGCACAGAAAAACAAATTGAAAATGACCATGAGGAGAGGAAAATGTGGGACCTGAAGCTCTGTTGATTTCTTGATGATCATTTAAAGCGATGATCATTTAAAGCAATGATCAAGTCAACGCAAGACATAGAAGCACGGGTGGCATTAGCTATTGGTGTGTAACCATACCATCCTCTCAATCTAAGATGCAGACAGCATCCTCAGGAAATTCTGTGTGGAAGCAAGAGAAATAATTAAACATTTGACCCAGTTGCCTAGCCTGCACTCATCACACATTATTTATTCACAACTCAAAATTTAGATGAATATCCCAGAATTCTTAATACAAAATAGCTGTTTTAAATTCAAATACGCAAATCTATAAATCTGTATATATGTATATATATAATTTTTCTCTTTTAAGCATATTTTTCATGCTGTATATGGTGTGTAAAACACAAATTTCTTATGTAATCGTATCTTTTCTTCATTTTATTTATACTATATAGATTTGGGTTAGCATAACCACAATAAAATAATTATTTGAAAATTTTTCCAATTTCCCTTGTCCATCTTTTTAATTTTATTCCCATATTTTGGTTGAAATATAGTGACTCTTTCAAAAATAAGGAATTTTGAAATGCTAGTGGTCATCTTAAATATCTTAAATATCCTCTTTTTTATCACCAAGACAATTATCAGGCCTCATGCATTTTTATTTTTTCCATTGAAATATATATTGCCTTGTGTATTTCAGTTAGCCTATCTGTGAAAAGAACCATACTTAAAAGAAATTGTTTCTAAATAGTCATTTGAGTTCAATAAGCACATTCATATTCAGAGAAATGAGCAGAAATATCTTTGATCTTTTAAAAAGCCACCCAGCAGTTGCATATATTCTGGAATTCTTCTAGCAAATGGTTGTTTAATAGGAATTGTGTGCCAAGGATAGTCCTAGAGATTATAAGAAATGCTGTGAAGTTTGTATCTGTAAGATACTTTATTATACTCTCTTCCCAGTGCAAAGCATGTGACAATACAGAAAAAGATTTATTCTGAATTCTTCTAGCAATATGATTGACTAGACTTCACAAATGTTGAATACATTTATATGACCAGCTATCCAGACAACAGTCACTCAATGAGTTTAAACTGCATCCCTTCAGAATATTCAGACATAATGAAGCCTTTCTAATACTTTGAAATTAAAATGCAATATTTGAGGTAATCTAAAGATATTATTACATCTTATATAAGTATAAAACAAGCAAACAGTTCAGTGTGATTTAATACAAGATGAAAAACGTAATTGAGAGATTTAAATACATTTTATTTTTAAATTACAAATATTCTACACAAGTTGAATAGGAATTTTGATTTCAAAAGCCATATAATTCATAAAATAATAAATACATGATTGATGTTACTATCCCTACTGATTGCACTAAGAATACCATGTGTTTTAAAAGCTCAGCCATTTTTTGTTCATCTACAGTATCTTTAAAATTTTGTAATTGCCACTTTATAGTATGGTCTTTTGGGGAAGATAGGAGTAATTCTGGTTTCCTTTTATCTGACTTTGTTGGTGACTTTAGCACTAAAAATGACAAGAACTTTTCTTAGTATTTGTAGCAGCCTATTACATGAAACCATACACAACTTTTAATATCTAGTAAAAGTATGGGAAAATACTACCTTATAAAATCATGTATTTGAAAACTGTAGATATGATGAGGTTTTAGAATTTTGTTGATCAAATATATGCTTTATTTATGAACATGAAGATCTGGTTAGATTAGAAAAGTCAAAATAGTATATTTTGCTTAAAAGAGGCATTTGTATTAATATATGAAATTTGTGCTTTTAATTCATGTAAGCATATGTGTACAGATTTTTTGGTATTCTTACACCAAAATAGAAATAGATACAAAGTATGTATCCTGTTACAATATAAATATTCTAGTGTAAATGCAAATTAAGTGACTGATCAGTTTCTTAGTGAAATTTACAGTTTTTATTACAGCAAGGAAAATTTTATTTATGTATTCCAATAAATTTTTGACATGTAATTCTAAATATTTTGCCACAGATGAAATTAACCTATATTTATTGATGCTAGATGATGTTAAAATATAATTTAGTCATAATTTAGTTCATAATATACCATAATGTAGTTTTGCAAAGATAAAGGTTAAAATATAAGCTTAAGTTATTTTTATGGTGACTCTGGAAATAGTACATATTTTAACTTTTAATATGTATTTTAAATTTTTGAATCTAAAATTCCATATTAATCACTATAAAATCTTAGAAGAAGAACCAATGCAGTCAGTCAGAAAATAAAAGAATTGGATCAAAGACTAAGGAAATAACAAGTATGGCTACTTTAACTTTACAACAATAGGTGGCAGTGTTACCTAAATACACCAGTTTGAATTGAAGAACTAGAAATGTTTAGTATCTACATGTAACTTCATACATGTAAACAAATGAGAATACAGATGAAAACTAAACGTGCCAGTGATTGACTCAGTATTACATTTATTTATATAGTCAGTAGTATCTCAAGTAGTGAAAATGTAGCTTTAAATGTATGGCAATAAATATGATTCAATTGGTCACATTTATTGAAATTCCTAAACATTTTCCTTTTTAGTACAAATAGCAGTAATCACTGTTTTTTCTTTTTCCCTGAAATGTTTTACTTTATAAATCTTTAATTCTATAGGATTTTGTACTAGATATTTTAAGGTGTTCTAAAAAACAAACAATAAATTATAGTACATAGGAGGCTTAACATGATGCATTTTTCCAATTCTGTATATTTCATGGAGGATTGTGTGTGTGTGTGTTTGTGTGTGTGTGTGCATGTGTTGAGACCAATGATCCAACAATGAAGTCCTTATGTGTTCTGCATGTTTGCTAAACATATTGAGTCTACACAATTGCACATATTAGACTGAGTGAACAGAAATAGATTTCTTTGATCACTGCCAACTTGGCCATGGGCAGTATTTGAAAGAAAGAAAAACGTCATGTGTTCACTACGTTGGTATGAAAATGAGGGTGAGCAATAAGGACCTTGGTAAAGTATGTCTACCTTAGTGCAGGCTAGAAAATGTTGCTGGAGCAGGGAGGCAGATTTCAGTAAATACATTCTTTTTCCCTCATGCAGTCTGCTAGTAGGATCAGGATTGCAAAGTTGAGTGTGGATGAACTTCAGTCCCTATGGTTACCCTGCCATGCAGCAGTGTGGACCAATATAATTCACAGTTTCCTCTGTGTTGTGAAAACATAGTAATGACTGGTGTAGCCTTATCTTAGGATTTTTTGAAATGTACATAGATATATGGTTTGGTAGTTTGTATGGCTTTTCTGTATTGCATATAAAGATTCTGGAAGAAAAGTTGTAAAAATAGTATAGTGACTTATATTACAGATTTGCTAGTAATATCCAAGCTTCTAGATTGTCAGTTAGAGGTGATTACATCATTAGACAGTTCTCGCTGTTAACTCAACATGGTGAATGCTGGAGTATATGATCCCAACCCCCTTCAGACTTACTGTAAATGCCACACAAGATTGACACCAGTTTCCAGCAAGCTCCTAAGGAAATGTTTTCTGCTCAACATATGTTTTTGGTCCCAAAGTCATGTTCTTTTTCTTTGGGAGACCTACACCCAGTAAACGTCATGGAGAAAACTTGGCCCCAACCCAAGACAGCTTGTTTCTTTTTCTGCCTTGGAACATGGATGAGCAGCAGTGTTTGTCACACTTCAGCTAATCCAAGCATCACTTCTTCATTCCTCCTGTCCCTGGAGTGATCCCTTGTACATTCTCAGATGAAGTTCATCCACACTAATATCTAACTCCAAGCCTGCTCCCAAGGGACCTAGTCTGGGCTCCACACCAAGATAGGTGCAAACTGAATTCTAAGCCAGGTGTTCACACTACACACCAGCCACAAGAACCTAGTTAACAACATCAACAAACATTTTCTAAATAAAATGTATACCTTAAAAATAATTTTTAAGAGGGAGGTAAACAAATTACTAAAAACAGCCACATCAAAACGTTTGTGGCAGTAGGTAGCACTACCTAATAAGGACAGATTTGAGAGGTTGGAGAGATGGCTCAGTAGTTAAAGAATATATACTATTTTTCAGAGGGCTGTGTCAATTCTCAGTGTCCACACTATGATTCACAAGCATCAATCAGTCCTGGTGATCTGATGTTTCAATTCTAGTCTCTGTGCTCACCAACACTCATATTGTGCACAGGCATCCATGCAGGCAAAACATACATACATAAAATAAATATTATAAATAGCAATATATTCAAATTGTGTGTTGTAAGAACTGGGTACATTTAACAATCTAATTTGTCCCTCTTATTGTACTTCACTTATTTCAGGGTCCAGGGAGGGACTCATGGTTAATTAAGATCTGGGCTCTGTTTTTCAGGGTTTCCTGGGTCAACAGAAGTCTCAGACATGTTGACATATGCTCTGTTTTCTATGGGGGGGATGTCAGTTGTCTGATTGAACAATTTTCTGAAAATAAAACCCTTTTTTGGCCATATTGTAACACAAAGGCATTTGCAGTAATTTTGAGTTTTTATGTGTAAAAATATTACTATTTAAGAAATAATATTATTTAAGAAATAGTATTTATCTTTTCATTGGATTAAAAGACACATTTGAAAGCATTATATAATTTTTACTTTTCAAAAGTGCTACAAAGTAGCTTACTTCTTTACAAAATCCCTCAGGAGTAAAAAAGAAAGATGTGAACTATGACGTACTGTACCCTCCCTTCAACTCACTTCTTTCTGGAGCCAGATGCAAAATCTGAAAATGAGGCTTAGCCCAAGATAGTCCACAATCACCATTAATTAATTAAAATTAATTTTGGCCCCTATTTGTGTTCTGAAGCTAACCAAATCACCTCACCTTATATTAAATGCAGTAAACTGAGACTTAGGAACATGAAACATTCATATGGAAGGAGAGCATATGATTAGTCATGACACCCTATCCCACTGGCCAGTTCCAACTTACAAAACCTCAGGGAAAAGTCTTCCACTGCTGGCCCTTGCTATTTATGTGGGGCAAAACCAGCTGAAAGATTGCTTTTTCACTGTGTTATGTTACTGGATTGAACCAAATCATGTTGCTTCATGATATTTGTCATTTTGTGTGGATTAAATATATAAAGTATATAACAGATCTTTCTCAAACTCCTCCCTTGGGTCCTCCATGCTCAGTCCAATGGGTGGCTGGTGAAGGAGCTGAAGAGGTTTGCAACCCCTTAGGAAGAACAACAATATCAACTAACCAGATCCACAAAGCTCCCAGATATTAAACTACCAACCAAAGAGAACACATGGAAGATCTATGACTCCAGCTGCATATGTAGCAGAGGATGGCCTTGTAGGGCAACAATGGGAGAACTGGCCCTTGATCTTGTGAAGGCTTGATGCCCCAGTGTATTCAAGGGCAGGGAGGTGGAAGTGAGTGGATGGGTGGGGGAAAACCCTCATAGAAGCAGAGGGAGGGGGGATGGGATAGGGGATTTTCAAGGGGAGACCTGAAAGGGTGATAAAATTTGAAATGTAAATAAAGAAAATATACAATAAAATATACAACAGAATAAAGCTTAATTTATTAAATGTATTCATTAAGGAAACAGTGTTCAAATATGTCCTATAATGTCAAGGCAATTATTAAGAGCTAGTATGTATTTTTAACCTTTTACCAAATATTTTGGCATTACAGAAGTTTGTAATGAGTTGTTAAATTAAGAATAAAATGGAAGATATATATCACAGTTTTCTGGCTGAGAGATTCTTAGAAATACTTCTTGTTAGAAAATTTATATATGAGGAGAGCAACAATACCAACCAACCACAGCTCCCAGGGTCTAAACCACCAGCCTGGGAGCACATAGGGAGGGATCCAGGGCTTGAGCTGAATACATAAGAGTGGAGGGCCCTGCTGGGCATAGGTGGAAGAAGAGATCCTTGACCTCATGAAGGCTGGATGCCCCAGGGGGTGGGAATTTTGAGGGTGTGGAGGTGGGAGTGGGGGGTAGGTAGGGGTTACATCCTCAGAGAAGAAGGAGGAGGAGTGAGGGGATAGGGGGTTCCTGGGTGAGTGGGGGGTGGGGTAAGGGGACAACATATGAAATGAAAATAAAACATCCAATAAAAAAAGATATCATGAAAAAAAGAAAATTTACATATAATTTTAGTAAGGAAATAAAATTTCTAGGTGTGACTTCCATTTCACCTTGTCACATTGTGCTTTTGAATATGTTTTTGATGCCACATACTTTATGGATATATTTATTCTGTGGAGCTCATTTTGTGTAGGCATGAAACATATCAGTGTACAAACAAACAAATCCCTACTGGTTACCTAAAATCAGTGTCTTATGAATATTTCTGTAAACTTCACAAACAATTGCTCTTATCCATGGGTGGAAGAAATGAAAACTCATTTCTTACAAGTAAAGTTACTTTTCAATGAACTTACTGACTGGGATATGAGATTCAATTGAAGGTAGCCCAGCTCTTTTCTGTGAGGTCTACACCTGGATCCTGCCCATGATAATGGCAACAGCTGAGGTATTAAATGCTCAGAGAAAACTCTACAATGGTAAGACAAAATAAGTCTATGAATTGTCAGATAAACTAGAAAGAGTCCTTCTTTATTCCAAGGACCAGATTATACCAGGAAAAGTTGCTAGAAAGAACCACCTGAAAGGCAAAGTTGGAAACTCCAATAAAATCACCACCAATATTTTCCAATTGTTACAGAAAGCTGATACCAAAACTGCTTTCACAAAGAACTGTGAGAAGACTGCTTTCCCTGCACCCCCAAATGAAATGATTCCAAATGGAACTGTGTGCTGAAGAATAGCAAGTGAATCTTTCTTTCAAAGGGAATCCTGGTGTAACGGAGAGGCATATGTTTTTCTCACCAAAAGTGGAGATACTCTCAAGGATGATGTCAATAATGAACCACAATAGTCTGAGAAGAAACCTGCAACTGTAAATGTTGCTTTGCTGGACTTGTTATAGGTCAGACTGTGGTGGACATCACTACTTATGTGACACAAGCTGTTTTGAAATACTGGAGACATCCTGGCTGTTCCAGAACTGTACACTGACTGCTATAAAGACTGAATTTGGTGCTGATGTAACTACAAAAGAGATTGTTCTTGCTGATGTCATTGAGACTGATTCTAAGGAGGTTACAAGTGTGCACTGCTATGTGGAGCCAAAATATATGAACAACAAATACCTGCCATGTAATTATCTATGAAATCAGTTTTCTTTAAGGATCTTGCTTTAAAAGAAAATTTAATCACCTGTTGATTTCTGCAGTGTTCTACTGAGGCAAAGGCTGCGTGTGTGTGTGTGTGTGTGTGTGTGTGTGTGTGGTTTATGGTTACTGTATACAGTCATAATAAGAACAACCTTTGAAAAATTTGGTTCTAAATGTCAAGAGCCAAAAAGAACTCTACCATGTGTGTTATAAATATGTTTCACTATCTAAAAGTGTATTCCATCATGTAGTAGGAATGTCACATTACCATAATTTTCTTATATCAAATGCATGCATTTAGCAAGTCCTTTATGGCTGTGCTGCCTTGAAAATAGAAAAAACCCTTATCTACTGAGGTTTATGATGTTGAATTGTCCAGTTCACTTTAAAAATAGATCAATATTTTAGGAGTCATTTTTGTATTTTTGTTTAAACTTTTGATGCTTTTAAGCAATCTAATGTCCGTTGACTAAAACTGGAAATTAAAATAGTGCTGGATAATTTCGTTTATTAGGATTAAATTAAATTCAGTATAAAGTGGACAAAGTTGTATTTCTGGATAATTTGTTTTTGTTAGATTGTGTATTTTTTTTAAAAAGTCTTTCAATAATTGTAGTTCGCTTTAGTAGAATAGTTGATGATTTTTATACATTTATAAATCAACTGTAGACTTTTTTAGTTTTTATTTTAATGTGGATTCTTAGATGCTACATACTTTTATTAATCAAGTTATTTGTTAACCTTACAACCTGCAGCTTTCCCCCTCCAAATTCTTCAGTCACTCCTCCCGTCCCCTTTCCCACCAGTGACTCCTCCCTTTCTCCTAAGAAAAGGGGAGAATTCCTATAGATATCAATCAGCCTTGGCCTAACAAATTGCATTAAGACTAGGTGTATCTTATCCTATTAAGGTTAGGTGAAGCTTCTCAGTTGGAGGAAAGAGACACAAATGCAAGCAACAGTCAGAGACAGCCCCTGCTCCTGCTGTTAAGAGTTCAACATCAAGACTGAGCTGCATAACTGCTACAGATGTGGTAAGGGCCCGAGTCCAGTCCATGCACGCTCACTGTTTGACAGTTCAGTTTCTGTGGGCCCCTTTGAGCCCAGATTAGTTGATTCTGTAGGTTTGCTTGTGTTGTCTTAGATCCATCTGGCATCTCTAATCCTTTCTCCCCTCCACAGGATTCCTCAAGTTCAACCTAATGTTTGGCTGTGGGTTTCTATGTTTTCATTAGTCTCTGAGTGAAACTTTTGTGATGACAATTATGCTATGCTCCTGTCTTCAAGTATAGCAGAATATCATTAGTAGTGTCAGGGGTGAGCTCACTGTCATGGCATAAGTCTCAAGCTGAGCCAATCATTACCTGGCCAGTTCTTTAATTTCTGCTCCATCTTTACCCCTGCACATCTTGTAGGTAGGACAAATTGTGGGTAAAAGACTTAGTGGCTGGATTGGTTCCCAATTCCTTCATTCAGAGTCCTTCTGGTTATAGAAGATGTCTATATCAGGCTTGATATCCTCCATTGCTTGGAGTCTTCACAGATTGCCAGGGATTTCCATTGTCCTAGGTTTCAAGCTCATCTCAGAGATGCTCTCTCCCATTCCAGTTGTCTCTCCCAACATTCTCCTTCTCCAACCTGCACTTGAAAAATAGTGTCTGTCCATCAAATAAAATAAAGTTGAGAAATTTTTGTTCTTCTTTAATAACTTCATTTCTAAGACTTAGTAATCTATTAAAGATTAAATTTAAATTGTATATAGAACCATGTAAGTTTGGCAATATTTAATTACTTAAAATCTTTAAATTTTGTGTAGAATATTACTATTGAATGTTCTAATTTTAATAAAAAGCACATAATTCTGTCCCTGACATTTTCTACTTGCCACCTAATAGCTTCAAAAGGGACTCTGTGCTGCCACTGAGATAGGTACCTTTACACCTCATCTTTTTCCTAACTGTGGCCTAATATTTACAAATTTCATAATATAACAATGCTTCATCATGTCTATTAATAAAGACTGAATGAGTATATTCTCTAAAATGGCTCCTCCAAGCCACCCAAAGTGTGCCATGGTCTTTCCGACTCACTTAGCATCATCTTTTACTTTAATTCCCTGATTCTTTTGTGGTTAATAAATAAGCCATTGACAAGTATTCGTTGAAAATTGCATATCATTCTCTTTTCTGACTCCTCTGCAGATCCAGAAAGTATTCCTGAGTCCCTGGCCAAGCTGTCATGGCCTCCCACTTTGTGTCTCTGTTAGATTCAGACTCTCTTCACATTATATTTTGTATCACAAATCACTGTTAAAAATACTCCAAAGCTCTTGATTCTCTGTTAAATTCAAACAAAATAACTTAGCTTAGGGCGAGGAACAGAAGAGTGTAATGAGCTGGTATAAACAAAATATGTGATACATATGTATGAAAAATTATAAGATACATTATTTTGTATGCTAATTAAAATGACTTTACTTTTTATTTAAGGAATATCTCAATTTAAAACCCATTTCCATCTTCCATCACTTCTTTTCTCAAACAATCACTTTACTGAATCAGTTACTCACAAGGAGGTGCCTCTGTTTCAATGTAGCCTTGCACATAGCAGAATTTTCCTTCTTCTGCTAACATACCAGCTATCTCCATCTAACCTGTCCTGGCAGTTATTCTCTGATTCATTGAAGAGGTCATTTTGTATAACCTTTTGATAATCTGCTATCATCTGAAATTATACGTGATGAATGCATTGCTATTTACTTTCCATATTTTACTTTCCCAACTAGATTATGATTTCTTGAAGATAGATTACATACCACCATTATGACCTTTTTATTGAATCATACTACTGATTCTGAGGAAATCTAAGTTTATGTGAGTTCCAAAAATATCTTTCAAAATTATAGACTGCCAAATATTAGTAATTGCCAATTTTGTTTACAATCAGAAAGGGGTTGGTAAACTTAGAATTATGAATGCCTGTAAAAATTAGACAGTGCATCTGAACCAATGTTATATCATTAAAATAGACTGGAGAAACAGAGTGCACTGGAACAGAGTTAATTGAACAAACAATGAAGTGAGCTATGGTTCTAAATATGAAAAAAGGAGTCCAATGAAATTTTCACTGTATGACTTTTTGTTAATATTTTGAATTCAGTAAGACTGTTCTCCCACAAGTTACAATGTATGGTCTTTTTCTCTTCTTGTAATTACAAATGTTTTTTAACCTTGATACAGGACAGAATTAAACAGAATTGTTAAAGACCTGTGATGCAGAGAAATTCAAAGCCATATATAAAATGGCCCCAAGAAGTAGACCCACTCAATGCGTTGGCAGTGCCCATATCCAATGTTTATGACAAATTTCCGCAGAATTAGTAATTGGTTACCTCTCTCTCACACAAGGCAAATTCTTGGAAAGCTATAAAAACAGAGGCTATGGTGCATATTGGAACTTAGTACAAGTGCCTGCAATGGTGGTCACAGTTGGAGTGATGTGAAAAGCATAGTGGTAGTGATAAGGAAGTTCCTGATTTGTATGGCTCTGGATTAAGTTATTTTTTAATCTCTCTATGGTGTGTGCATGTGTGTGTGTGTGTGTGTGTGTGTGTGTACCTGCATGTGTGGGTGTGTGTAAGTGCGTGCATGTGGTCTCCTCTCATTTGAAGTTACATGGTCATCCAGTAATCATTAATTCTAAATACCATTTTTAAAATGTCCAGATGCTAGGAAATGGCAATCACTATAATAGAATAGAAAGAAGCTTGTCACCTAAATGCCAACACATTCTGGGAATATAATTGTTTATGTGGAATTTTATTGTGCAAATAGGAAAAATATTGTTCAGCTATAGGTACTTATTCCAGAGTTTTCTGTTGATATTTACTTAACAATACTGAGAACTTGCTAACACACACAGACTGTCGAGTCTAAATTAGTCTCTGCTTACACGAAATTTTCAAAGACTAATAGCACCATTTTCCATCTTTGTGTATTAGAAAAACAGCATGGGAAACCCGAGTTGAACTATATCTTGAATATGTAGCTAGGAAATGATGAGTGGGTGATAGGACCAGGGAAGATGTAGCAATGCACTGGTGCAAACAGTGTAAATGCTGTGCTTAAAGGGCCATTGTCCTCTTACTAGTACATAAACTATATTTAAAAGATATATCTTTTCTTCTTCTGTCTAAGCTGCCATATCACTTGACACTTTGATAACCTGTTGTCTGAAAGGGCTACAAGGTTCTGCTAGTTTCTATTAATTCCGTTACTGAACCATTTTAAATCTTTCTTTATATTTTCCAACAGTATGTGTATATTTATTTTACTTTATATTTATACACATACATACAATACCTAGAGAATTAGTAAAATACCTTTTATTCACTAATGGAACTACATTGCATGCATACTAATGTAGCAAATCTGGAAGTAAGATGAATGAAGTGAAGGACTACACAAATCTATACAATTACTAAGTGGAGAAACCATGTTTCCTGAGGCTTGTGTTTCTCAGCATGTATGTGCAGACAGTAGGTGTGATGATGATTTTTTATCTCCCTCCCTACAGCTCTGTAAATATTTTCATCTTTATCCTATCCGAATCTGTCCTACTCCTATTTTTATAACCTCCTACTTTGCTTTGTTTTATTAGAACAGAACACTTACAAGAAATAAACTCTTCAGTTTATGATTAGGCAGTCATGTTGGTGAGACTTCGTGTAACTTCTGATACTACTACTAGCAGACACAATTATACAGAAAACTCCCTGACCACCTGGCTCTTACAATTTTTCTGCCCTCTCTTCTACAATGTTCCCTGAGTCTTAGTTACAGAATTTGTTTTGTAAATGTTTCCTTTGGTAATGGACTCCATAAATCTGCATTTAATTGGTTGCCTTTTTCTGTAATGGCTCAGATTGTTTTTAAGAGAAGTTTCTAGGACAACAACAGTCATGACAAAGTGGATTCATAGTGGTGGTAGACAACAAGATCTCATCCCTTCCAAAGAATTACAGATAATTCAAGAATGCTGAGAATGGGAGACATTTTCTTACCTAGGGAGGAGCACAATAACTGGTTATCTAAGAGCAAATAGTCAGACCAGGATCAGTCTCTCTTTCTGCCTGCTGCCTATGGATCAGGATATGAGCTCTCAGCTACTACTGCAGTGCCATGTCTGGTGGTTCCATATTCTCTACCATGATGACCATGGACTAACATTCTGCAACTGTAAGCAACCCCACAATTAAAGACTTCCTTTTGTAAGTTGACTTGGTCATGGTGTTTCTTTACAGCAAAAATAGCAGTAACTAAAGCAATATAATAATCTCAAACATAAAAGAAAATACAAACTGCACAATGTTTATTATTGAGAGCAAGAGGAAAGAAATTGTTTGTGAAAATTTTTGATTGAAGCAAAAAATTACATACATAGTGTATTAACTTGTATTTCTTTAAGATAAATTGCTTTGGTGAGCTATAATATCCACTCTATTCATTTAAGTGGTAAATTATGTTCCAAGTTTTCTGTGTAATGGCACAATGGTTGAATTTGCTGTATATGTGGGGTTCCCTGGCTGCTCAGTTGAGTGTGCAGAAAACTAGAGTATACCAATCAGGAACCACTGAAGAGGTAGCATCCAGTGGTTGCATCCAAGGGTATCATTCAGAGGAACAAATTGATGTTCTCTCAGTCTTAATTGAAATAAGTGACTTGTTTTGTTATATGTTTGCAATCTGGACTTGTAAGACGGCTCAATGGATAAGTCTAGCAAGCCTGGTGACCTCACCCTCAGTTTGATTCCTGGGAATCACATGGAGACAAAAAACTGGCTTTCCACATATGCTCTATGGCATGTTCCTTGCACCACAGCAACACTAGTAAATAAATATAATTTCAAAAAGTACTGTACAGTTTTAACTTATGAAAGTTAGTTACCTCTACAAATGAAACACCATTCTAGTACAAAAAAGGAATGTTTGTGATTTGAATTTTATCAAAGTTACATAAAATGACATTATTCCTTTTATTTCTCTGAGATTTTGTTACACAACAGCTCAAGATAGTTTCTTTATCTATATTCATTGTTGTTATCTTTGAGACCCAAGGTCTAATGACAAGTACCAGTCCATACAAATATTTCCAATCTTTGAAAATCTCCATCAGTCCTTCACGTTTGACATAGGCCACGTGTTCATAAACTCTAGTCTTCTATACCCAAGGGAGACCCTACTTTTCTTACACCTATGGAAGCTTTACATTTTCTGCAGATTATTCCAGTACATTGTGTCTCAGCACTATTTTATACTTAAAGCACACCCTTTCTCTTAGAGTTCATCTGTGTCTGTCCTGATGTGTTCTTATATCCATGCTTTGCTGCAGTTCTTCTTTCTTGAAATTCTAATAAGCATATATTAGTACAGTCTTATCTGTGAGAAAGTTACTCTACAACAGGAAGGTAAGTATTATGCCCATGAATACTATTACATAAGACCAGTATGTAGTAAGAGAAGTAAAAATGTCATGCCTTCAGAGAGAAATTAGAAGTACAGCATTTACATTACTATATACTTTAGAATGTTGTTTGGTTGTTAAAAATCTTACATAAGAGCTTCATCCAGCTTGAATTTTGTTTTGTTTGTTTTGTGAATGGTGATCAGTAGTTGATTATTTTCTTCATGTAGAAAGTACTTCTTGCCTGTGGTGAGTTTAATAGTTGTTATCTATCATCAAAAATGTAGTAATATCCTTGAAAAAGGATGTCTTGACACTTTTGGCTCTGATATTTCTGTGAGAAACCAAATTGAGAGTTGAGACAATTTTTTAAATTACATTTGTTTTGGGATTTTTTCCTATGTTCATCTCGGAATCATGAGTAATCCCCCAAACCAAGCCCATATGGATTTATTTCTTTGCTACAGTTTCTCTCACCATAACCAGGATCTAAATCAAGAAGCAATAGCTAATTACACCTGAAACAACTGAACCTCTGTAAGCATCTTCCAGCTATTATAGCCCATGACCCTTGAGATAGTTTTACCTTCTACATGTAATGACTTTCTTCTGTGCTATATCACGAGGACCAAATTCAACTATGCCTTCATTTAACGTAACTTTACCTCTAATGAATGTTTACACAGCCCACTCTTAACCCCTTTATATACATATATAATATATATTCTTAATACATATATAATATATACATGTTTAAACTATATGTACATATACATATATATTTATGTGTATGAGTGTTTTGTCTGCACGCATATATGTGCACCATGAGCTTGACTCATGTCCAACATGGTCAGAAGAGGATGTTAAATCCCCTGAAACCAGACTGTAGACCGTTCTGAGTTTCCATATTGTTTCTGGATAACAAATCTGGATCCTCTGGAAGATTAGTGAAGCCTCCTAACTACAGAAAGATCCTCTAGCCTCTGTCTTTTATGTTTTTTTTGTTTCTTTGGAGCAGCTCTCATCCATCAATAATTATATTTGTAAGATTTTTAATTTTTTTGTTTGAATAAAACTCCCTGAGTTGAGTTTGCTTTTGATTTCTCCTCACACTAAACAGGAAATTTCCCACACCAGTACCAATCAAAGTTTTATATAATTTCCACAGCTGTATCTCTCTTACTTGTTCTATTGGTGTGATAAAACTCCAAGACCACAAACAAGTTGAGGAAGAAAAGTTTTATTTTAGCTTACAACTCTCATGTTATACTCTATTGCTGACAGAAGTCAGGGCAGAAACTCAATCTAAGGAAAGAGTCAGAGCCATGGAGGAATGATGTTTACAATATGATGTATATATCTTGCTTGACCTGCTTCCTTGTAGTAGGCAGGACCAAAAGCTCAGAGGCAACAGTACCCTCAGTGAGCTGAGAACTCTTGTATAAATCACCAATCATTAAAATAAACCATAGGCTTGTTCTCAGGACAATCTCCTGAAGACATTTTCACAATTAAAATCCCCTGTTGAAATTGAGATAAAATCCAGCTTGCAGTCTGGCACTAGAGGTGTTGGAATCATGGCTACTGTGACACACGTATCACACGTGTCAGTATGCTGCAGAGAGGGGAAAGATTCTGCTGAGTGTTGTGACGTATGAACATCTGAATGATTAGTAACCTAACATTCCCTGAAAAAGTGAGCCCAAGATGATCACCAGTCCAGCACCAGAGGGCCCTGACAGGGAGATAGCTTGAGATGACCACCAGTCCAGCACCTCTCAGGTATTGAGGGGCAGTTCATGCCCAAGATAACTCCTGCCCAGTACCATAATGCACAAGCAGGTCATAAAACTCATGAATATATGGCTAACAGAACATCATGGAAGAAGGGATGGAAGGACTGTAAGATCAAGAAATCCAGAATGTCTTGATTAAAATGTTCTTCTAGAAATGGCTGCATAAGCAAGACCAGAACAATGGCTATAAAATTAGGCATATTAACATGTAAGTGAAAATGTTCACGAGGAGTCACCCTTAGACTGGGTAATCTCTATGTTGTGTTAAGTTGTGGTTTCCTGTGATGGTCTCCATTTGCTGTATAGAGATGCTTCATTGGTGAGGAGTAGTAGCTATATTTACTTGAGGGTATAAGAATAATATTTAGGATATAATAAAGAATTGTTTAGCAAGCAATGATAATAAGTATGCTTAGTAAGGTCCATGATCTTACTAACTCCAGGAAACTGACTATGTTTCCAGTACCAAGAGTGATTTATCTCCTCTTGTGTAACTTAAGTCCAACTGGAAGGCAGCTGGTTGCCAATAACATTGGAGTGCTACATTTTTCACTTTTACAGATTTCTTGTCATGCTGGACCAGCAGATAGAATGGAAGCAAGCAATCTCGGGAGGTAGGAGGTAGGGGGGACCCTCTGGAATGTGCCAGACACCTGGAAGATGAGAGACTCTCAAGATTCAAAGGGAGGTACCTTAGATGAAATGTCCAACAGCAGGGAGAGTGAAATTATAGAGCCCACCTCCAACAGGAAGATAGGGTATCAAGTGAGGGACTGTGATCCCACAGTCAAAATTCTGACCCATAATTTTTCCTGGCAGGGAACAGCAGGGATGAAAATGGAGAAGGGCCTGAGGAAAAGAAGGTTCAGAGACAGGCCCAAAGTGGGATCCAGCTAAAGGAGAGGTCATAAGACCTGACACATTACTGAGGCTATGGAGAGCTTACAAAAAGGGACCTGTCATGACTGCCTTCCGAAAGACCCAACAAAGAGTCAGATGCAGATATTTGCACACAGCCAGTGAACAGAAGCTGCTGACCACTGTGGTTGAATTAGGGAAAAGCTGGAAGAAGCTGAGGAAGAGTGCAATCTTGTAGGAGGACCAGCAGTCTCAATTAACCTGGACCCCTGAGATCTCTCAAACACTGGACCACTAACAAGGCAGCATACACCACTGATATGAGGCTCCCAATACATATACAGCAGAGGACTTCTGAGTCTGAATTTAGTCAGAGAAGATGCACCTAACCCTCAAGAGACTGGAGGCCCCAGGGAGTTTAGAGGTCTGGTGGGGTTGAGGTTGGGAGCTGGGAACATTTTGTGGAGACAGGTAGGCGAGGAGATATGGGATGTGGAACTGTTGGAGGGTGGACAGGAAAGGAAATAAAATTTGGAATTGAAAATAAATTAATTAATTAATTAAAATAATTTAAAATAAAAATATAATCTCAAAACTAAGCAAGAACACCAACATCAATAAAAGAATTAATAATCTTAGAGTCTGAAAACGTGGAAAATGAATCAATGATTTTTTTAATACAACTTTCTGAGTCCCCCAAACATTATAAAACTTTAAAAATGATACAGACAAAAGTGTTCCAAATACAAATAAATATTCAGGCTCCCTCTTTGTATCTTCTTCATGAATTATTTACAATAGGGCTATGTCAGCCTAGTTTTAACACAGGTTTGAAAAACACACTATTACTTTACAGTAGAGAATTAATATTGAAATTTAGTCTTTATAATATCTCTAGAAGAACTATAGGTACAGTAAGATATCAGAATATAGCTATTGGATTAATGAATTTTAAAATGTACCTATCTGCTCATAATGTTAGAATACATTGTAGAGGGATTTTATGGATTTTTAAAATTTTCCAATAAAATGGACTGTAAGTAATAAATATTATCCTGTGGGGATCTTACTCTACCAGATGTATTCTCAAATGATCTCAGAGAAGGTTCCGTTTGAAGAAAGTTAGTCATTCTGGCCTTGAAGAAGGATTCTATTCTACTGTTTTAAAGGCAGTAGAAGGGGATGAAGGCTATAGACTCCCTAAGAATTATGAACTCTGAGACAGGAGACAATGAAAATGTTGCTCTCCAGACACAGGATCCAAACTTTTTTTTACCACAGAGCTTCAAATGAAATGTTCTCCCATTCAGAGTTCTGTGATACTGAGAAATGGATCCACCTAAACTTAACTGGAACACCAGAAGGACAGTGAGATAATAATTGTCCTATTTAAAGCCACCTAGTTTGCGAAAATGGTTTATAGCTAACTTGCCCCTACTAATATGTTTGTGCATCTGATGGTGAAAAGTCAATAGAGATGTGGTTTTATGAAGTGGGTTATTGTCATACAGTGTGACTGACATTTAGTATCAATCCTCCTGCATCCATCACCAGTGTGCTGATTGGAGCCATGCCAAACATCTCCAGCTGCAATTCCTTTTAAAAGATTATATAACACAAATTTGCTTTCTAGTTCTTGTGGGATTGGGGATACATAGAAAGGGGAAAAATAAAGTCTAGGGAACATGGCATAATACCTTACACAGGCAACATGTAGTTACTTCAAACACAGTGGGATTTCAAAATCAATGTGTGGTTGTGTTCTAATGACTTATGGAATATAATAATAATAGTAATAGTAATAGTAATAATAATGATAATAATAATAATAATAATGTGACCCTTCTGATCTGCACTAGTGCCCTGAGCAATCCTAGGATTCCAGCTCTGCACTCAATCCCCCAAAACCTAGAGGAGGCTGGACTCCCAGGAGCTCTAACATGCCCAGGATTGTAGGTAAGGAGGCCATTACTCCCCTCTCCCCAAAAGGGAGTAATTGGGACTCGAGGGGACCCAGAAACTCCCTTATAGCCAATGGCACAGGATCTTAGGTGAGTAGGCCACAACCCCTTCCCCCTCCAAACAGGGGGTAAATGGGACCTGGGAGGACCCAAGATCTCCCTCATGGCCAGTGGCACTGTACAGTCTGTGCTGGTGCCTGGAGCAATCCTAGAGTGACAGCTCTGCACTCAATTTTCCAAAACCCAGGGGAGGCTGGACTCCCAGGAGCACTAAAACACCCAGGAACATAGGATAATAGGATCACAGGATCTCAGGAGCTTGGTCACAGCAGGATTACAGGATCTCAGAAGTAGTCTGACTCCCAGGAGCTATCACACCCAGGATCTCAGGATCCAAGTATCACAGAGACAACTGGACTTTGAGGAGTTCTGATGCAATCAAGATTACAGGAGAGACTGGCTTCAGTCAGAGACAGTGAGTGAATGTAGTACTAAAGATAACCACAAGAACACAAGCAACAGAAACCAAGGTTAACTGTATTCATCAAAACCTAGTTCTCCCACCATAGCAAGTCCTGAATACCCGATGACACCAGAAAACCAAGATTCAGATTTAAAATCACTTCTTATATTGATGGTAGAGGACTTTAAAAAGGATATAAATAACTCCCTCAAAGAAATACAGGAGAACACAGGTAAACAGTTAGAAGGCCTTAAAGAGGAAACACAAAAATCCCTTAAAGAATTACAAGAAAACACAATCAAACAGGTGAAAGAATCGAGCAAAACCATCCAGAACATAAAAGTGGTAATAGAAATAATAAAGAAATTACAAAGGAAGACTACCCAAGAGATAGAAAACCTTGGAAAGAAATCAGGAGTCATGGATGCAAGCATCACCAACAGAATACAGTAGATGAAAGAGAGAATATCAGGTGCAGAAGATACCATAGAAAACATTGACACAACTGTCCAAGAAAATACAAAATGCAAAAACCTCTTAACCCAAAATATCCAGGAAATCTAGGACACAGTGAGAAAACCAAAGCTAAGAATAATAGAAGAGAGCGAAGATTTCCAATTTAAAGGCCCAGTAAATATCTTCAACAAAATTATAGAAGAAAACTTCCCTAACCTAAAGAAAGAGATGCCTATGGACACACAAGAAACCTAAAGAACTTCAAATAGACTAGATCAGAAAAGAAATTCGTCCTGTCACATAATAATCAAAACAACAAATGCACAAAACAAAGACTATTAAAAGTAGTAAGGGACAAAAGTCAAGTAACTTATAAAGACAGACCTATCAGAATTACACTAGACTTGTAACCAAAGACTATAAAAGGAGGTCCTGGACAGACATCATACAGACCGTAAGAGAAGACAAATGCCCACCCAGGCTACAATACCTAGCAAAACCCTCAATTACAATGGGTGGAGAAACCAATATATTTCATGACAAAACCAAATTTACATATCTTTTCACAAATCCAACCCTACATAGAATAATAGAGGGAAACCTAAAACACAAGGAGGGAAATTGTACTCCTGAAAAAGCAACAAAGTAATCTTCCAACAACCCCAAAAGAAGATGGCCACACAAACATAACTCTACTTCTAATAACAAAAATAACAGGAAGCAACAATCACTTTTTTTTAATATCTCTTTAACATCAATGGACTCAATTCCCCAATAAAAAGACAGAGACTAATGGACTGGATGTGAACAGGACGCAACATTTTGCTGGATACAGAAAATGCACCCAAGTGACAAAGACAGACACTAAGCCAGAATAAGAGGCTGGAAAGCAATTTCCTAAGCAAACGGTCTCAAGAAACAAGCTGGAGTAGCCATTCTAATATCAAATAAAATCAACTTTCAACCAAAAGTTATCAAGAAAGATAAGGATGGACACTTCATACTCATCAAAGGAAGAATCAACCAAGATGAAATGCCAATTCTGAACATTTTAAAGTGATTTGCATGTAGTCCAAACAAATATTTAGAAAATAAGTCTATAGATGTTACATGGCTGACTGTTGTGTTTTTAAAAACAGATACATTCTTTAG